TGTTTTGAGAAACGATGTACAAATGCGCTTTACACAATTGATGTGTGTATGGATTGGGATAACAGTTGTATGAGCCCCTAATAAAATGTTAAAAAATAATAATAATAAATAAATAAATAATAAAAATAAAAAAAAATAAAAAATAAAAAAATGATCATCTACATGTGGGAGGTTCAAAAAGTTTGTGGGACAATTCCATTGTCCTTTAATTACCCCTTTCCATGAACTTTTTGAAGCCTCCTCATGTGTTCATGTATATATGTGTATGTATATATACACCTATACTCATACATGAGATAGTTAAGGTTTATTGTGCCAACCTGGCCGATAAACACATGTGGGATTAATTGAAGGGCAGAGGAGGGATAAATGGCTCCGTGAGCCTCGCCTTTCTAGTTCTCAGGTCTCTTGCTCTCTGATGGTAGGGCCAGGGTGCAGCTGCCTTAGCTAGTTCCCTGCTTCAGCTGGCAAGGCTCACTTCATGCAAGACATCCCTGAGGAAATGCCACATGGACCTACCCTGAAGCAGCCTTGGGTGCTGGAACAGCTGTGTGGAGACCCCTGCCATCTCCGAGATGCTTACACGTTCACTGATTGGGTTTTCCTCTGCAGCTGGTGTCATTGCGTGTGTGTTGTGAAATTGAGGAGGTCTTTGTAGATTGGTGTCGGACATATAGGTTAATGTGGGACTTGTGGCCTTGGACAGCACTGGGTTGGGATGCTTTCTTAATGTAGACTTACCCTATATATAAAACTCTCTCTTATACATATATGAGTTTCTGTGGATTTGTTTCTCCAGTCTACCCAGGCTAACAGCACACACATAAATTTACATATATATACATGTGGCATAGCCAGTCACTACTGAAAATGAAAACCTGTAAAGATCTGCCAAAAATGGCTCCCGCGGTCATACTGTTCAAGTGTTCAAAGTTCTCCTGGAACCCTAATCTCAGGAGTCATCTTGCTGCGCTTGATGAAAACACTGAAGTTCATCCTATCACCGTAAAGGAACGTACTGTTGGATGGTTCCTTGAGTACGCCCAGCAAATAATAACTGTGTGCAGCACCAGTATTCTGTGCATGGCATACAATATTACACACCACAAATTGTTCAGAGAATACTTAACTTATTTTCTTAAAATATTCAAGACAGAAAGCTTGCTTAACACATTGTGACATTTTTATTATCTTTTTTATGTAAAATAAGATATGTTTTTCCTTAGAATACTTCCCCCAAATTTTACACCCCAAATTAAAAAATGAATATTGATGTATTATCTTAGTTCAACTTTTATTTTTCAGTAGCCCCATGCATGCATTAAAGTAAGAAAATCCTTTTCTATGTACAATGTACAAACACAATACATACTTGCTTTCTGTGGTTGCTACGCAAGAAGGACCTAGGAATTCCATTTTTGCACTCCGAGTCACTTTGCTCTTCATAACTTTCAAATTCACTCGAGCTCCATCCGTATTCCAGAGAGCTGTTTCCACCTTCATCTCCGTTTTCAACATCATCATAAATCATTTCATCTGAATGCAAAAAATCCCACAATGAAATTAAAATTAAAATGTAGAATTGACCGGATAGCGTTCTGTACGTGCTTATTGTTCTACGTTACACTCTTGAGCGTTGGGATGGGAGCGCATGAGACTACTTGGGAGGAAACTGCAGGAGCCTCAGGTGTTTTCCTCGAGGAAGGTGCTACCAGATGCGCTGGCACCTTGGTCTGCACCCAGGCATACCTCAGAGGCAGGCATCGCGGGTTCCGTTCCAGACCACGGCAAAAAAAGTGAGTGATATGCATTTTGTTTGTTTGTTTGCTTTCCACTGCATGTAAAACTTACATTTTACTGCAGTCTATGAAGTATGCATGGCAACAAAACAAAACAAAACTCACTACCATCGAGTCTACGCAGAGGCTAGAGACCCTGTACAGAGGGGCGGCCCCTGAGTTTCTGAGACTGTCACCCGTGGCAGGAATGGAAAGTACCATCCTCCCCCACGGAGGGGCTGGTGGTTTCAGACTGCGCCCTCACGCGGCAGCCAGCGGGAAAGCACTGCGTGGCCAGCGCATTGCCCAAGAGTTTGACAGTTAACAAACTGACGCACAGACATGAAGGGAGCGTGGACAATTAACACCGACAGGTTTCCCAACGCAGTGCTGCCACGAACTTTTAATTTGTTAACAACAAAAAAAATGCCGTATCTGCAAAATGTCATAAATCAAAGACAAGAAAAAACTCTCCGAGTGTTTATCTGATAAATTCCCCAGCCTCATCCATAGCTTCAAAACCACAATTATACAAAGTCACACATTAATCATAGAAAATGCCTCACAGAGGAAAATGTTTATTTAAACAAAGATATGGAATATAAATAGATACAAACAGACATGTAAGGACTGATGTGTTGCTATTACGTTAAAAATGGTCTAATAAAGATAAACAACCTCCTACTGTACACAGTGTCTTTATCTCATTCATCACTTTATGGATTAGTGAGGAGTTCATCATTCTTCTACCGAACACAATGTTAAGAGATCTTCATAAAGGAAACTGAGGGCAGAGTCCCTGTCTTTTATTCCATAATCAATGTCCTGCACATCTGAGCATGTCTGAACTGAGCTGCTTCAGGAGCTCCCACAGCAAGTCCAGAGACTTCCTGTCCACAACTACTCCACTTCCTGAGTTAGATCAATTCAAAGAGGAGTTCTCGTGTGATAAGCTCTCACTGCCACTGGGTCATTCCTGACTCACAGTGACCCTGTAGGGCACGGTACCAAGGACTGTAACTTTTTACCACATAGAAGGCCTCTATTTCTCTCTTGAGAATCGGCTAGTGGTTTTGAAGGGCTGATTCTGCAGTTAGCCGCCCAACAAAAAATCACTACACTACCGGGGGGCTCCCTTCTTGTGTGATAAACCTTGATTAATATAAAAATATACAGTAGAGCATCAAAATACATACAGGCTTTCTATTTTCAACGTAGAGTAATGGCAATAAGCCTTTCAGAGAATGAAAACACCATTCTTCAAACTCCCAAAATACGGTTATGTGCCACTTGTGTGATTGTGTGATGTGGAAGAAATTCCAACTCACAGTAAATGCACAGGACACCACAGACCTTCCCCCACAGGGTTTCCTAGGCTGTAATCTTTAAGGGAGCACATCACCAGGCTTTTCCGGTGTGTGGCTAATGGGTTCACACTGCTGAACCTTTGGTTAGAGGCCAAGGGTCTAACCATTGTGTCACCAGGGCCCCTTCTCAGAATATCAGTGTCTCTATCATTTCCACAATCATTAAATACACCCCCATAAGGAGAGGAATTTGTAGAATGCAAGTGGTTTGCGATCAGCTGTTAATCTAAAGGTTGGCAGTTCAAACCTACTCAGCGGCAACTCTGGGGGAAGAAAAGGCTTCTGTTTTAGTAAACTTTACTGTCCCCCCATTGTCCCCACCCCAAACCCTCTGGAGTGGTTCTACTGTGTCCTCTAGGGACCACCCTGACTCAGGGTAGCTAAAAACAAGACAACCACCAACCGTTCTTTAATTCAGTTGGAGTTTCTATTTAAATAGTGTTTCATATGGTTAAGTGATCATTTAAAGTACAAAGTAACATGAAAAAGATATTTTCATTCCTTAAAAGTTTTATTCATATTAGTCTCTAATGAATTTACCCTACATGCATCTTTGTGTTCAGTATAATAAAACAAGGCCTTAAAATCATAGTTAAGTACATATTAATAGAGGGACACCTCAGTTGTCATTCCAAATTTGTGTTCAAACACCTAAAAGTTTGAGAACAGAATATGTTTTTCCTATAAGAAATACTTTGTTATGGTCCACACAGAAGAATGCCTTGGCATTGTGTGTGCGCACGCGCACACACACACAGAGTAAACATCATTCTGGTATTCTGTTTTCAGCCAAGATCCATGTAACATCAGGAATGATACCCCTGATTCCACGTCCTCTTCTGAATCCAGCCTGAATTTCTAGCAGCTTCCTGTCAATGCACTGCTGTAATCTTTGTTGGACGATCTTCAGCAAACTATTACTGGCATGTGATATTAATGACATTGTTCTGTTGGATCACCTTTCTCTGGAATGGGTATAAATATGTGTCTCTTGCAGTTGGTTGGCCAACTAGCCATCTTCCAAATTTCCTGACATAGACCAGTGAGCACTTCCAGTGCTTCATCGGTGTGTGGAAACACTTCAATTGACGTTCAGTCAATTCATGGACCTTGTTTTCGGCTAACGCCTTCCGTGCAGTTTACACTTCTTCTTTCAGTACCATTGGTTCTGGATCTTAAGCTACCTCTTGAAATGGTCAAATGTCGACTAGTCCTCCTTGATAGAGTGACTCTATGTCTAACTACTTTAGTCATACTGACATACTTTTAACTGCAATTTTTGAATACTCAGACTATCAGAATATATAAGATAAATGCTTTTGACTGCTTTTTAGAAAGGTACTCAATATTCTGATATTAACCCCATCAGCAGATATAGGGACGCAGAGGTGTCATGTTAAATATTGGTGAGTTAGTGAACTGTGGGTTGTCTTTAATTTCTACATCCACAGATTTATGGTTTCCAAAAGTATAAACTAAATCCAATCGCTCTAACATCTATTTCCATTGAGCTGCTGAGTAGAAAGAATGGCTTATTATTTTTCTCGGTTGAAATCTTGTCCCTAGACGCAATAGCATTTTAAGAAATCCTAAAAGCCACTTTGATTAGAATTGACCTTAAATTTATTTTTCTATTCTTTCCCTTAAACTTTTTATTTATTTTTAAATGTTTATATATCTCTTACAAAAGCATAGGAATAGGCCATGCTATTCCACTCTGAGAATAACGTTTGTTGGCAAGTTTGATCCAATTTATGTTTACTTTGAGTAGAAAGCCCTTGGCGACTAAGGACAGGGTGAGCGGTTGAAATCCACCAGTGCTCTGAAGGAAAGAACGGGGCTCTCGGCTCCAGTGAAGATGTACATATAGCTCCGACCTCATCCAAGCTAACGATGTGTCACAATGGACTCAATGACAATAGGCTTGGTTTGGGGTTATAAGTATCAATATATTTGGACTTAGTTTTGCATCTTATTTCATATTCTTTTCCATTATTTCTTTTTTTTAAGTTATTTTATTGGGGGCTCGTACAATTCTTATCACAATCCATACATAACATCCATTGTGTCAAGCACATTTGTACATTTGTTGCCATCATCATT